CAGCATGGTCTGCCATGTCATATAAACCTGGTGATGATGGCCTGTTGCCATGATTAACAAACCACCTAGAAGCCATGGACTGTTGTAGAGCTCTGGGGTGCTGCACCAGCAAGAGTAAATTATGCAAGTCCTCCCAGCACATGCAGCAGAAGAAATGAGTTACCATGGATTCTTTCTTCCTCTTTGATAATGCAAGCAGTCCCATTCTTTCATTTCCAAGTGGAGCTTTCTTATATTCATGCTGAAAGGCAATGATCAAAACACATATAATATAAACACTTTTTGGAGCTAAGCAAGTATAGATCAGGCTGGTGTTCAGATGGTAGGCTGGCATAAGCTTGGTTATTTTGGACTTCAACTCTTGTCAACCAAAATAGCACGGCCAATGGTCCAATGGACAGAAAGTGTGGAAGTTAAAGTTCAGATCAGGGAAAGTTAGTCAAGCAGGAACCTGTGGATTTCACTTTAAGTTCCACCTTAGAAGAAAGGAAGGGCAAAATTTATTTTATGTATTCAATAAATAAATAAATTACCCTCCTATCTCTGAAGGCAGCAGGACTTCACACATGTAATTTTTATAAATGAACAACAGACAAAATAAAGTATTTCTACACATGGAACATAGCTAAACTATGAAATTTGTTTCACAAGATGTGGTGCTGATGGGCACCAACTCTGATGGTTTTAAGAGGGGACTAAACAAATCCATGGGAAATAAGAATATCAATGACTACTAGTCATTATTGCCATATACAGCATTCAGAATCAGACACAGCATGCCTCTGAATACCTATTGGTGAAAAATGACATCAACAGAGGGCTATTGCCCTTGCTGATTTCCCCTGGGCGCCTGGTTGGTCACTGTGGGAAACAGGATGCTAGACTAGATAGGCTTTTGATCTAATTCAGCAGGGCTCTTTTAGTGTTCTTGTCCTAGCAGAGTGAATAACTTCAAAGAGAAGGATCTTAAGCGAATAAATTGTAGAGTAACCAAAGAGTAAGGAAGGATAGATATTATAAAATTTGTTAAAATTACACAGTTTTATATAAGCTTTGTTTCAAAAGTGAAAGGGGGGGGGGGCTTTTGCCATATTTTATTCATTTACTCCCTTTATGATTTCTTCTGACAGCAGGTAAATATGTGATGAACCCAGAATCTTCAACACCTGTAGATTGAACATTCAAATGTATTGAATAGCTTATAAAGTGGCAATTATGTAAGCAGTTATCATGGAGACATTAATGTAAAGGTTGTTTAACTAGAGTATTCTCCAAATATACACAAAGCAATATGTTTGCCCTGATCTAGAAAACTGCAGGAACAGAAGAAGCCTGCAGACATACTATTCTACCTATGGATACAGATTGCTCCAACATGTGCACAAGGCCACAGGGAAATTTCTATGGGCTATGAACTGTATAGTTCCAAATATTATTTGCAACTATACAAAGTTGAACTCTTGAAGCAAATCTACATCTGGAACCCAAGCTCTGAATAATGACTGTAATCACTGAATCTCCTATCTCCTATTCATCAAACCATTTATTATACATGTAAAACAAGCATTAGCCAAGTTCCAGAGTTCTTTCATATATGTAGGCACAGGCATATGCCATGTACAACATGGAAATAGCTTGATGACAACAAAAACATACTGAATATGACTGAAGTCAAATGGCATGTGAAAAGCTGAACTGAATCCTGTTTGCCTATGTAATATCAGTTCCAGAAATCTACATTTCAGTCCAGTCTTTAGCCACTTCTGAATTAAAATCCTAAGGTGTGATAGAAGATCCTGTTGTAATTATGGGGTGCGTCACAAAATATCCTATGAATCAGCCCCAGGATGTACAAAAGCCTTCAGCTGACTGCTGCGGGCTCTGACAGTGTTCAGCAACAGCACCTCTGCTACAAACTGCTTATTCTCCTCTTGGCAGTCCTTGTCCTCTTTAGGAAGCAGAGAGAAGGAAAAGGAAGTTACTGCCAAAAGAAATCCAACACTGGCAATGATAGCAAATAGGCAGGTGATTGCAGTGATGTCATCATCAGCCTCATAACTACCACAGCCAGTTGGAGACTTCTGCACGCACGCGCGCGTGCACAAACACACACACACACACACTGATTCACAGCCTCATGTCTAGAAATGGAGCGGAAAACGAAACTAATTGGTCTTCTAAGCAACATACACAAGGCATAAAATTCTATTCCTTATCCAACAGAGCAGCATGTAAAAAGGAAGACAGCATGTATCAGTTTCTCCATAAACATTATTATATGCATCTTTGAAAAATGATTAAGTTTAGCACAGCAACTTCCCCTTGCACTATATAAGACCATTTCACTATATAAGACCATTTCATAAACAGAAATATAAAAATGCTCAGCCAAGGAATCACTTCATTTTCAGTCAAACATAAAATAAAAACATTCCAGAAACAGACAGGAGCAAAAGATAAAGTACACACAGACCCTACAATTTGTGGTCTTTTATGGAAGCCTAAATTAATGTGTGTATTTTCAACCATAAAAGTAAAAATAAAATTCCTTTTAATTTTTAAAAATCCAAGAAAACTACAATGGATTTTCTGTGAAGTTCACTAATATATTCATTTAAATTTTTAAAAACTGCTAAGACAACTTACCCACAATATCTCAGCTATTGATTTCCCACCCACCTCAAGCTTCTCTTTCTAATTTATAAGATCATGTTGACTGTCAAAAAGATGGAGTATGGCAAATGGAATCTTTTAATCCTCAAGGAGGTATTATTTCAGGACAGATAACAGAGAGTAGCTCATCTAAAAACTGAAGTAAGAAATGGAAATTATGCTTTCTGTTTGTATTTTAATTAGATGAAGCAATTATAAATTCCCAGTGCTAGCATTATTCATGCTCTGTAGAAACAGAAAAAATGTCATTTTAAAAGTGTAAAATGACATCTTAGCAAACTTGCAAGCTCCTCTTTTCTCACAGTTAAACTGACACAGCATGAAAACATTCCCCCACTGATAGTTTTAGATAACATTTTCTTTGTGTAAGTGTGCAAAGAAGGGATGATTTGAAAGAGTTATTGACATCTCATACAGTATCCCCTACTTCGTTAGACTTAAAACTACAAGGAAAGAACATGCCATCACTCTAAAAGGAGGTGCATTAACACTGTTAAAAGGCTTAGGTGCATTTTTGGTAACGCAGAAGACTGAAGCTGATCAGGTCCATAGGTGACACAATTACATAAGAATCTAATTACTGGGAGTATATTTAGTTGCTCTATTTGCAAAGAAACAGATTAAGGAGAAATACACTGAAAAAAATAACCTTCTGTGGTATTACAAAGTATTTCTTGTGCTGCATGAAATGTAAAGTATTTTAGCTGGGTTCTTTTTAATTCTTTCATTATTAGAAGTTACACTGCTGTTCTTGGGTAGTAACACTGAGACCGCTTTTTGTCAAAAATTTTGCTTATTACCAAGAAGAGAGGTATAGGAAAAAAATATATAGTTTGACACTGATACTGGAAAGTGGCACAAAGATTGACTTTATGAGCAAATTACCTAAAAGGAAAAGGAAAGGAAAGGATTCAGACTGTTGCTGCTAACATTAAATCTTCATAAATATTAAGTTGGAGGCTCTAATTTCAGATAGAAATTAATTATATTTTTGGGAGTAACACGTTCAGAAGTGTTTACACAGCTGACAGGTCTCAGCTGCAGTAGTTCCAAGCCGGGAGCTTTCTGGATTCATCTGCTTCAAAAGCAGATGACTTAACAATCACCAGTTTGATTAGATTTGAAAAGAAATGAAAGAAAGAACATATCACCTGCAACATTGTCACTTGTTAAAGCAGAGTTTTAAACAGATTCTTGTATTTTATCCATGGTGGACATCCTATCCTACAGGAAGGTTTTTCCCTTTTTGACTAACTGGCTGTTTTCCAAACAGCTGCTGGCATTTGGATTAGAAATCATGGGTTCTCAAATCCGTTCTGGCCTAACCTCAACTAGCAACCGATGACAGCAAACCAATATATTTCAGAGGTTGCAATTAACCTTGTCTGTGTTTGTTTTTATCTATAGCTTCAACGCTACTTTCAACATAAGGACTAGTTACTTCCCCTAAATTTGACAGTATGGCACAACTCTGCTAAATGTGCTGCTATGAACAAAAATTCTTTGCTCTTGAAATCTATAACATGGAGAAAATAACACACTGCAGAAAAACATCTCAAGCTTTTCAGAAGGTACAATGTGATTATAATTTTTGAATGATGGCCCTAATCCAGGCAGGATTTTCAAAGTGGATCATCAGCACACACACACACATATATAACACATATAGCAAAGCTTTTTCATTTTACTTCTGTAACCAAGGAATGGGAGCTTTCCTCTGTCCTATTTCCTTCCCATCACATGGATTAATGGACTACAGAAATACTACTCATGATTACTTGGAAATAAGTTTCACTTAAAACTCCCCCAAATTGCAGCCTTAAATATTTCATGTAGTACTTAATCATGCGCTCAAATGTTCTTTGAATAAATTTGTCCCTCCTGAATGGGGAATAAAGTCATAGTACTATGTGATCCCACTGTCAACTCCAAAAGTTACTAAACAACAGTCCAACCGTACCTGGAACCTATGTTTTCAGTAATTAAATGACAAAACAAGTAAGCTATTATTTTCCACTAGACAAAGGCTGAAGCTGAACTCGCTGCAGCTTTTTCTCCTGCTTGTTTTATTGGTATATTTGAACTCAGGAGCTACATATTTTGAGGCACAGCCAATTTTGGGGCCCTCCATCAAATTCACTGCTCTGATGTACATATAGTTATTTCAACTGACCAATACTAAACATGTTATTAAATAAATGCATTTTGTGTTTATTTAGTACTTGTCAAAATGAGTATAATAATAGCTTTCAATCAAGATTGATAGCAAAGCCATACATACATGCTAGAAAAACAAGACAGTGTTTATAGGCAACTCTGGGACTTACTGAGTCATCTGTAGCAGTAGCAGGCCAGCCTTCCCACAACTGATGACGAACAGGGATACTAGTCAGGTCATAAACGTTTCGCTTAACCTGCAAAACAACCAAAAATGGTTTAATATATATGACTCTTATTACTATGTATTATTTATAGTCATTCAAAATGTGCAAATGATCATTTCATTTAAGCTCAAAATAACTCTGTTAAGCTAAATATACTACAGTTGTTACTATGCACTGTTTATTAGTTACTATGTTTCTTCTATTCAGTCATTTTAAATGTGCAACTTATTTTAATTCAGAACAAGTATGGTCATCAATTCAGATGCTACTGTTTTATGTAAGTGGAACTAAGACTGATCAAAACAAATTATCATACTGGAAACTAGAATTCAAACATTATGTTTATTTATTGTAAGCCGTCATGGGACAATTGGATTGTATAGGATGGGATAAAAATGTTCTACATAAATAAATATTCTAAATAAATAAAATACTCTATAGCCAAGTCAAATGCTACACCAACAAGAACTACTTAAGTATTTTGGAAGATGCAATGACTGGCCTTAAAATTGTTCATTTCAAGATGGTTACTTCAGAACCTGAATTGGGAGTAAAGGAGGGGTAAGCACTTCTTCACTGAAGTTCCAAGGCCCAGTGGCTCGTAAGAACCAGTCCATCTCTGGTTGTGGGGGAGACCCAGTTAAACAGACTGGGCCAGAGAAAATGGGATGTAACATATTAAACCCCATCATCTGACACTAATTCAAAAAGGTAGGCAAACTTTTTGGCTTCTGGTGTTCCAACTACCTGTTTTATAAACAATAGGAAGCTCCTTGAGGGTGGAGCTAACTCCATTTGGTTGAAAAGAGCAGGTTTCAGTTTGGAATTATCTCTTACCCTAATTAGCTGGCTCCCTAATTTAATGGATTTTTCCCTAATCATTTCTTTTGCATAACAAAACCAGCCTAGCTGGTCAGCTTTAACTCCCTAAAGGCTATAGTTAGAAACATTTTGTCTAGATTGGTTTTGAAGATAAAATGGGGAATGGGGAAGAATCCCACTCTGGACAGTTTTGGATACAAAGTGCCTAATGTAAGCAGAAAGTGCTGGGGTTTATGCAAAGCATCCCCCAATTTTCACTGTTTCACACCTCCCACTACAATTTCCCATCATATCACACATTTTCAAAGAATTCTCCAACTCTCAAGGGCAGCTTGTGAGGTGAAACAGGAGATGCAATGGGACTGAGAGGCTGGGAAAGCCACATTTCAGGCCTGGAATTCTGCTTGGATTTCCCAACAATAGGCATTATAGTCATTGCTAAGTATTTCATGTTCTGAAGTTAGTATCATTTTAGAAAGCATCCTTTCATCACCATTTTTACTACCAACTTGGTCCCAAGAGGCCATATAATAAGACAACATAAGACAAGTAGGATAATCCTGAACAGAAAACAGAAACTAAAATAAAGGTTTTGTACCTTCAATTAAACTGTTTAATTGGGAAGGAAAATTTGTATACATTCTTTTTTCAAATCATTCACCCACCACCCCCAAAAAAGGTACTCTAGAATTTAAAATAAGGGTGGGAGATTTTCACATCTTGCCCAAGAACCAGATTTCCTCAATCTGCTGAAGACCTCAAAGTAGCAATAGGCAACATGTGAACCAAACAGCACAGTCAGCTCACACTCAGTTTCAGATGATAATCCACAAGGAACTGCACTTCCCATAGGCATCAAATTGCATATCCAAATTTCACTCAGGGACTGTTATGCCATTTGAATATGGTGACTGTGAGTTATGTGAAAATTAAACAGCCTAGAACAAACCATACATTATGAAAGGGTTGCTTAACACACACTGACTGAGTTCACATAACAATTCCCGGATAGAGGTTGCCTATTCAAAATGGAGGCTGCAAGCACACAGCTGTGAAATACCTGAAGAAACCAGTAGCACTTTCAGCAGGGAACAGTTTTTCTATTTTGCTATTGCTCAAAAGGGTATCATAACATTCAGTAGAATAGCCTCAGGCAATGATACAGAGTACAGGTTTGTTGAGGAGATTAACTTCCATGCAGGGAGAAAAGTTTAAGCCTGTTCTTGTGGGGAAAAATGTGATTGGGTTGTTCTGTTGAAGTCAAAGATACTGTTTGGACTGCTCAAGGTATTAATCATGAGTAAGTTGGCACTATTTGCTCTGAAAGGGCCTCATTTAATGCAATGAGGGATACAAAGCTTGCTTGCTAACTCAGTTTAGACCAACATTGGGGTGAAGCTGAAATGGCCACTGGCATTGTGGTTAGTTGGAGGACTGGGATCCTGCTCTCATCTTCCTGATGAATGAATTTGGTATACACAGCGAAAGATGTCATCCATTCATGCACTAAAAAGCCCTTCACCCCATTGAATGAAAGAACCTCAATCAAGCCACAGTTCACAATTCAACATATTTGCTGCAATAGGCTAACATGCTACCCTCATGGAAGTTATTGTATTTTAGTAACCACCTTGTACTATGTACACTCTCTAAATATGCTCCAAGGCAACAAGAAAGATGAAATAAGTTAAGTGCAGTTTCCATGTTTCCCATTTTTCCAAACTTCATTTTTCCATTCTGTTTTTAGATCAGTTTGAGGCATTTAATTCATATTTTTGCGCACATTGCTCCTAATATACAGCCTGGATTACTGCAATGCGCTCTACATGGGACTGCCCTTGAAAATGGTCCAGATACTGCAACAGGTACAGAATAATGCTGCCAGGCTGCTGACGGGGACTGGCCGTTACTCTCACATAACGCCGGTCCTCCACCAGCTCCACTGGCTTCCAGTTGAAGTCCAGTCCCAATTCAAGGTGCTAGCTTTGACCTATAAAGCCCTAAACGGCTTGGGACCAGGATACCTGAAGGAACGTCTCCTTCTTTATATGCCCTCACGCCCCTTAAGATCTATGGGAGAAGCCCTACTCCGGGAACCCTCTCTAAGAGAGGTAAAAAGGTCATCAACTCAGAGTTGGCCTTCTCTGCTGTGGCGCCCAGACTCTGGAATGTACTCCCCAGAGAGGTACGCCTGGCGCCAAGTACATACAAATCTGTATGCAGTTTCCTCTTATACCTTTTATATGCTCCTGAAAATACACATTTTATGTGCACTAATATCCGCATTTCTGTATACATTTTTGCTTAGAAGAACTACATCACAAAATTTTGAGAAGAAAAAATAGAAGAGAAAGTGACAGACTTGAGCTTATAAGAGCTGAGCAGGACTGTCAAGGACATGATCTTTTGCATTCACTCATAGGGTCACCTTAAGTTGGAGACAATGTTGATGGCATATAACAACAGCAGTTAGTATATTAATTCAGGAAGTGTGCATTTAGTTAAGTCCATATCAGCGTGAATGAAATGATATCCCATTTCCAGCAGATATTTCTATGATGTAAAAAGTTGGAGTGAAAAGGTTACTGTATACCTCCCCTGGCATGTGCACATAGCAGATGTGCAGGTACCCTAATATATGCACACAGGATGAAAATATATGTACTTTACAGTCCCAAGGTCTCAGCTTGGCTGTCTAGGGACATACAACCTAGTTATAATCATACATGATCTGATTTGAATTTCACATATAGGATATTTGTATTCCACACCAGTAGACAAGAGAGGATCCACCTATGAATAGTCATTTCTGGGTAGGAAAATACTATAATATTATCTAGAGATTTCAAAATCATTCTTGATGAGTCTAGAAATAAGTCATGATGCCAACAGAGCTTTGGCTAATGGGAACTATTGAAATGTAATAAATACATAAAATGTCCTTCTAGGATCTCAGAGTCCTTTCATCACAGAAATAAACCTTATTTCAATAACTTTAAAAGATTCTACAGTTTCAAAATCAAACGTGTTATCTATCTCATGTTATATACTAAACCAGCTTCATGAGGTAAATAAAGTAAAAATTCTCCCTGACCCCCAGCAAAGGCCTGTGAAATAAAAATAACTAAAATCTGTACTTGGATTCCTTACATTCTTTTCTAATTCCAAAGTACAACACAACAGCATTATGAAATAAACAGTATTCTCCTTCTTCCATTCACTGATCTGTAACTGCACTGATTTCAATAACATTCCTTTGCTATTCTAAGCCTGAAAGGCATGCTCCGGTTATAGTGTTATGTTGGTATAAAGCACAATGCCAGACTGATGTGCTGAACAAAAGTGATCAAAGTTCGACTAACGTTAGCCAACGCACAAGTATTCTGCCTCATTATTCAGCTAGAATGACATCTGTTGAGCAACTCGTTGCAGAATACACTAGTTGTTAGAGACAGGCCTCAGCTTGGGGGAGGTGTGTAAAATGTACGAGGGTGATGTTTGGTTAAACAAACTGCTGAGGCTATATTGAAAAATGGGTTCTGAAAAGAGGCCAATGTCAGTCCTCTCTAACCACAGTCACTACTGAAAGAAATAAAGAAAGGAAAGAAAGAAGGATAGATGGATGGAGCTCTCCCTGTAAAGCAATGAATGATCTTTTTAAAAATCTGCCATTTTAAAAATGTACTTATACACAGTACAAGCAATTGGAACATTTTACACAGAATGAAAAATGTTAGCTGAGCCTGGAGGTTCAGTGAGACCTGATGTGCATTGGCCAAAACAGCAAGAAACTATAGATCATGTTTGATCATCTTTGTACAAACATATTGGCTGGGTTCACACAACACACATACAATCCATACTAGGGTTAAAAACAGGTTGAGTGTGGGTTGTCATTGTTGAACTGTAGACTATAGCTGAAGTACGGGTTTGCTTCAACCCAGCTGCACTAACAAATTATACTTTGTTAACCGCGAAGAAGCCAAAGTTCACAACCCAACAACAAATCATATGTTCTCTTTGGCAGCTGATAGTGCTTAACTGTTAAGCCTTAACATGGTTTGTTAATGCAGTTGGTTCACAAAACACAACAATCCGTGCTTCACCAATCAGAAGCAGTGTTAGAACTAGCAGGGTTACTGAGTCCTCTGTAGACAGAAGGAGCCAGTGATGTTGAAAATGCATGTGCAAGTAAATGAGTTCTCCTC